GTGAGGCTGGGTCGGGGAAACCTTCACGGGGCAATGACTGTGGAACAGGAACCGGAGGGACAAGGAGGAGCCAGCCCACTCTGCTCCAAGGAACCTGGATGACAGTAAGAGCCAGGGAGAGGTGACAATGAGCACAAAGGCCACCTGGGCATAGGCGTGGAGGGGCCGAGGGGCTAAAAGGCAGCTGGTGGGTAGACAGGGAGGGAGTGGATGAGCTGCTGGAGAGAGGCACTGGCTGGCGCTGTGGTGCCTTCTGGGCCAGGGACGAGGCCAGATAGGGAAGCTACTGGAAGAGCTAAGCAGGGGCGGCCTCACCCCTCACACGCACGTGTATGTTCCTGTAGGGGGGCATTTGGAATTGAACCCAGGACCTTTGGCCTGAGCTATACCCCTAGCGCTTTTACTAATCAACTAAATCTTGAGAAAGATTTTTGCTGAGTGGATAAATTGCGGAGGCTGGAGTCAGATCCTCCTGCCTCAGTCTCCCACAGCGCTGGGGTCTTTGCACTTCCATGCCTGGCTTCCAATACCATCCGCTCCATTTCTGGGCTAGGTCACTCTGGCGGTTGTGTGGAGACTGGGCTGGGGCTCCTAGAATAGGAAAGGAGCCCAGATGGCAGCTCCTGCATTCAGCCGGCGGACACATGTGGCTGGGCCCCGGGAGTGTGGCCCTCCTCACCCTCCTACGTCTCAGAGCCCTGCTGAGGCCAAGGCGGCGGCTGGTGAGCATGGTCTGAGTTCCAAGGTGCCAGGGTGGAGGAGTGGAGGAGTCCCCTCCAGGTTATCCTCACAGTCCAAGAATTAAAATTAGCTAAGTGTGGTGATGCATGCCTGTAATCCCTGCGCTCAGGAAGCTGAGGCAGGAGGATCTCCATGAGTTCGAGCCTAACTTGGGCTACATAGTGACCAGTCTGAACTACATAGTGAGATCCTGTCCCCAAAAACCCTAAAATAAAACAGTATATAAATTATCACACCTAACTTCCTCTTTTTATTTTGTGTTTATATGAAGCTCCTTCCATCATGGAAAAATATTAATACCAAATAAAATCTGATATTAATTTGCAAAGCCTAATACACTATGCCTAAGAGGGTAACAGAAAGATCTCCCCAATACACACACACACACACACACACACACACACACACACACGTCTGAAGAGAGAGGATGAGTATATATTTCCTAGACCAGAGGTTGACAATTTTAAATACTCACCTCTGCAAGTCAGAAAATCTCTACTGCAAGTACCTGCTATCTTGGTGCAAGGGTGGTTGAACCCAACAGTAAGTGAATGGCCATGGCTGGATGTCAATAAAGCTTTATTCACAAAAGCAGGAAGTTAAAGGCTTCATTCTGTTAGCAAACATTTCTTGGGACATTTATTTTCCAGCTCTCCAGGACAAAGCTGGCTGGGATTTGTGGCCTTTGCTTAGTTCCATGCTACCTGTGTGACCTCTCCAGGCTTGGAGCTGAGAGAGATGCACCCAGCAGCGATGGCCGTGGGGTGGGGCACCCGGGACCAAAGGAGCACCAGTATGGAGTCTCTGTTCAGGGAGTGAGTGTGGCAAACACGGAATTGAAAGAGGGCCAGTGAGGCAGGAGCCCCAAGCCCCAGGGCTGAAGATGGGCCCAGGGTCTTCTCCAGTGTGGAAGGTGCTAGGGGCCAGGGGTTCATGAAAGGCGAGAGATGAAGTAGCATCATACTATGGAGAGAGAGCAGGGACACCCCAGAACCTGAACAGTGGGCCATTAGGATCCCACTGCGGCCATGATGGGAGCTCAAACCAGCCTGGTTGGGTGGAAGGGTGAGGGGTGCAGGTAGTAGTGAGCAGGCAGGGGAGGAAGCAGGTGTTGGGGTGACCAGTCGGCTCCAGGCTGCCTGGAGTACTAACAGAGACGCAAGGAAAAGCACCGCACCCTGCAGCCCACACCCAAGGGTGGGGCCTGATCCTGTCCTCCCAAGCCTGTTAGGGTACCATTGGTCCATCAGCCACCTGAGAAGGTGGAGTAGACTGGGGCAGGGCCCAGCAATCACCACCAACAGGAGGTGCAAATGCTCCGGGGACCCTGACGTTTCTGTAATCACTTACCGGAGTGTGGTGGGGGCTCTGGCTCCAGACCAGCTTGTGCACAGAGGTTCTCTTACAGGAGAACAAGGATAACCCTCTTCCTAGAAAGGAGACATCTGGCCACTGGAAGCCAAGTCTACAGACCAAGAGCTTCGAGACAGCCTGTGCTGGAGCCTTGGGGACACCCACCCTGCAAACCAGCTCAGGCAACTGCAGACTGTCTGTGCAGGCCTTTCTGAGTGACCTTAGGTGAGTTACCCCACCTCTCCGATCTCTCAGCCCACAGCAGAAGTACTGCCCTCAAAAGACAGAGACAGGACTCTGCATAATCAAAATGAACACTGGGTTAGATGTTTAAGAGAAAATCTAGCAAGCTAATCCGCTTCGTTAAGATGTCATCAAATTTGAAGATAGCTATCCTGGGACAAAACAATTGAAGACAACTTTATGGGTTGCATTTTTCCCCCTTTGAAAAAATACTCCTGGTAGTATGCACTGGGGCTGCCGGGGGAAGAAAACCAGATGTAAATGGTTAGAAAAGTGGCAGATAGCAGTAGCAGCTATTCTAATCCAGACGTGGTTTCCAGGCCCTTTGGCTAAGACCAGGTGCCTTGGACTCACAGACAACAGCTGCCCAGTTTCTCTGACTCACCTCTGCTGAGGCAGGGTGCTGCTCTTTCAAATGACTGTCACTTAGTGAGGCTTGATGGCGCACCCCTGTAATCCTACCATTCTGCAACACTGAGGCAGGAGGGTCGCAAATTCAAGCTCAACTGGAGCAACTCAGCGATTTAGCAACCTACTGAGACGTGTCTCAAAATAAAAAGTAAAATGGGTTGCTGGGTATGTGGCTCAGCATGAAAGCCCTGCATTCAATCCCCAGAACTGAAATTAAAAACTTGATTTTGGGGGAAATTACCACTTTCAACCTTAGCATCTGTGACATGGATTTAGTGTGCCCTTTAACAGGTTGTCATGAAGATAAAATAATAGAGCACCCAGCATTGTTGTGGGCCTTTTGTGGGCACTCACTACAATCTACTATTTCTTTCCTTTTTTTTTTTTTTTTTGTCGGAACTGGGGATTGAACTCAGACTCTTGCACTTGCCAGGGAAGCGCTTATTCCACTGAGCCATCTCCCCAGCCCCGAAATCTACTATTTGAATAAAGTCTCACCTCCTACCTTCCAACAACTGTGTGGTATGGACTCTTACCCACAGTTCATAGCGCTGACATGTCAAGCATTTTGATAGGGGTGGGTCAGACAGACCTGGCCCTGGGGCATCTACCCTATAGCCCTCTCTGCCTCCACACAGGTGGTTGGGTGTGGCAGGGGCCAGGGGACAGGAGGCCATCAGTGGTATCCTACCCTTTATCAGGCGTTTTCTCTGCAGCAATAACTCTTCTCTCCGGAATCTCTCTGGGTCCAGCTCCGAGTAGTTCCAGCTTTGATAGCTCTGTGGGCAAGGATACGTCCCTGAGAAAAGTTCAAGTTGATCCATGAGTACTTTTGCAAAGAGAAGGGAGGCAGCCACCCAGCACAGTGGTGGCAGAGACCTTGGGTCCCCTGCTGGCCCTAGGGACGGTGTGGGCCCCATCTCTCCCTGGCCTTGCCTGGGTCACATTCCTCTCCTAATGGCTAATGGTGTCTTGGTCTGGATGGGCCCAGTGCCGCCTTTGCCTTCCATTTTGATGGATGGTGTGAGCAGCCTGCTACACAAAGGTGAAGGTGCTGTTGTTATTTGTTTCTTACCCATCTCTCCTGTGCCTGCTGGACCTGGGGTCTCCAGGGCAGGGCCTGAGACTGGCCCAGTGTCAACAGGTGCTGTGCAAGGATTTGTGGAAGGTACTATGGCACTGTCAGTGGGGCGCCAGGAGTGGCTTCTCCCTACCTTTTGGTGTGAGGCTTGCAAGGTTACTTGAGAATTTTGAGCCACTGTACAAAATCACCAGCTGTGTTAGATAGGAACGGGGTAGGAGGTTTATTCCTGGCCATGAGTTGGGGGAAGGAGGTTCAGTCTTAAAGGAATGGGGGACAAGAAGAAGGATCAGGAAGAGGCCCAGAGAACCAGAGGCGGCCATGGTCAGAGCCCTAGCTGTGGAGGGAGCAGGCTGGAGTCTGCCTCTTGTCCCCCAACTGTTTGCAGTTGGGGTGCTCCATGTTGGGAAGATTAAACAGCCATGCCAAAAAAAGTTAATGCAGCAGGCTTGACTCTTGGAGAGGCCTGTAAGCCTGTCCTTCACTGGTGTCTGGGAACTTGGCAAAATGAGCCTTACGCTGACTCAAACTTTCTCTGCTGCAGGGTGGGCTCCCCATGTCTCACTTTACCCCCACTCTCCTGGAATGACAATCTGCAACAGACAAAGGTGCCTCCATGATGACCACTCATGAAGACCTTGGCCACTGTGTCCCTAGTGGGTTTCCCTGAACATACCACCCAAGAGTCTCGGCATTCACTGCAGGACAGGCCTGGTGACCCCTGTTGAAGCGAGGGAGAATATGGCTCCTTCAGGCTGCCCTGTGCCCTAAGCCCTGACCATGCAACCCTCTTTATCACCACGGTGATAAAACTCAGCAGGACTGTGCTTCTGTTCTGAGATCTGCAGGTCCTTCTAGCAAATTGAGTATGGGGAGAATGGGGAGCCCCCCAACATAGTAGGACATATAAACGTGCTTTCTTAACTGAATCTAGTACACAGGAACCCAGCAATCAACAGCGCTGAATGGCCTTAGATGTGGAGGCCTAGCTGGGGAAGCAGGCTCTGTGCGGGCTGGAGGAGCCCCTCTCTAGGCTTGGCTCCAGGGCGGGGCGGGGTGAGGTTATCTAATCAGAGCTGCAGCCTGTAACCCATGGCACAGAGTTGGCTAACAGAGCTGAGCTGAATCTTTGGTATCTTGTTAAGAAAGGACTCCATGTGTCCTTTGGATGCAGTGGCAGAAATAGACTAGGAAAGCATGTCTCACAGTTGTTTTGGAGCAGTTTTATTTTGTTTGTTTGGGATGAGATCTCACTACGTAGTCCAGGGTGGTCTCACATCCACTGTGATCCTCCTGCAGCCTCCCACATGCTGGGATGGCAGGCATGTGTCGCCCACCATACCTGGCTTTCTCGGGGCCTTAACCACACACACCTTTCTATCTTTAATGTTTGATTGCCTTGATGGGGGTGGGGTTGCAGATAAGACTGAACTTAGACTCTAGGGAAAAACATTTTCCCAGAAGTTCTTTCCCTGAGAGGAGGACACAGTTCTCACCTGCAATCCACAGGCTCAAGGTGTTGCAGATGCTCGACTTGAATTCGTGAGTGTTGAACCAGGACTGCGGGAAGCAGCAGCAGAAGCTGGTGTACACGGCTTTGCTCAGCAGAAAGGGCAGCCTCTGGGGAGGAGTGGAGTTCAGGCTGTGTTCTCTGCACTTTCGCCCCCAGAAAAGAATCCTGACTCCAGAAAGGATCTACGAGAAAATCCCTTCAGAGACCCTGAGCTGCCTTTCTCCTGCCTCAGCCTCCCAAGTACAGGTGCTAGGACTACAGGAAGCACCACCAGGCTGATTATACTGTGGCTTCGTAACTCTGGCTGAGCTCAAGTTACGTATCAATAGCTAGCTTTACCCATTTAACATCAAAATAAAAGCGCTTCCTCATAGTGCTATAAAGTCAAATCCTCCCCCCATTGATGATCTTTGTAATATTGTACTTCATGGATAAAATATCCAAATTTAAACATCCTCCACCAGCAGATGTTATTTTTTTTAAATTTTATTTATTTATTTATTTATGTGTGTGTGTGTGTGGCCAGCTCAGCCCACCAGGGGGCGGGGCTGGCTGGCATGTGGTGCTGGGGAATTGAACCGCAGTCCCTGTGCTTTGCTAAGCTTGCTCTAAGTAGGTGCTTCAGACCACTGAGCCATCTCACCAGTCCAGGATGCCTAATTTTTTCTTACTGATTTGTAAGTTCTTCATGCAGTACAACATATATGTCACTAGTATTTTTGCATAATTTATCATTTGCCTCTCAACTATGTTCACAGTAATAGCATCTATAGTAATTAAAATCTATATATCTATAAAACAATCAGTACTTTCCTTTACGGCTTACTCTTCTAGGTCATATTTAGAATTTTCTTCCTCACTCCCAAATGTAATATTTCACTATGGACAGCAATGCTCTAATGCCTATATGTACACACACATATATAAAAAGTATATACTGGTGTGTACACACACACACACACACACACACACACACACTTTTGATTTTAATGTTATAGGCTCATGGAAATATTCCCAAAATACATAAAGTAGAAAAGGAATCTTCTAATTGCATTCCCCTTAGATAACCATTGCTAAGACTTTGGTAAAATGTTTTTTCTAATATATTTTCACCCATCACTTAACAATAGGGATTTATTCTGAGAAATCTGTCCATGGGTGGCTCGTCATTGTGTGAGCATCATACAGTTGTGTGCTGACACAAATTAAGGTGGCTGTGACATCCTGGGTGACCTCTCACAGGCCCACTGCCACAATGCGCACTCTCTCAATGTCCAAATCCCCAACATCGCGTGGCGTGTGACTCTCCACACATGCACAGAGTTGTACGGACCGCTTTATTTTTTACTAAAAATATACCTTTTCCAGTGAGTGTATATAGAGTACGGCTCTACTTTTTGTAGCTGCAGCACTATTAGTCAGCACACAGACTACAGCACAACTTATCAATTTCTCCTTTATGGGAAGAATATTTAGAACATTGTCTTGCACTGGACATGAATAGAAATCTAATGCCCTGTTTTTCTAAGCAGCACTTCATGCCCATTTATTATTACTATTATTGTTATTATCATTATTATTATTATTTTGGCAGAACTGGGGATTGAACTCAGCCCCTTGCGCTTGCCAGGGAAGCGCTTATTCCACTGAGCCACCTCCCTGGCTCCTCATGCTCACTTTTAAAAGCGCCTCTTCATAGTGGGACCTGGGTCCTTGAAACAGAAGGAAGGTGTAGTGCCGCGCGATCCGGTCAAACAGCTTATTCTGAACTTCCTTGTTCGGCTGCCAGGAATGGAAGGAATTACTTTGAAGCACTGCTTTCATTTCTAGGGGTCTTATTATTGAGCTTTATGAGCTAGTTCCTCGCCTACAGGCCAAGTCTTGTTGAAGGAAGGATCCGAACCAGGAGGTTCAGGAGGTCCTGAGTTCAACTCCTGGCCCTGCCCTTGACCAGCCACGTAAAATGGACCAGGTCCTAAGGGACACTAGGTAGTGGCTGGAGCACAGGGTGAAACCTGAGTGGGGAACAGGGAGGTAACAAGTGAGTGGGCAGGGGTGACCCCTGAGATGGGAGGAGTCCTTGTTGTTCATGTTAAAGAGGCAGAAGTTTAAGAGGCTATGAGGGAGGATTGGGAGCTCAGGGTCAGCCTGGGCTACACACTGAGACTATGCTTCCAAAAGAAAAACTAAAGGCTGAAATTTGGTCTGTGGAAAATAACTGAAGCAAGGGAGAAAAGCCAATTAGATTTACATTTACCTGGTATCGTTCATGAAATAGCCACCAAAAGCTATCCAGCCATATTGTTCTGGCAGGAGGAGAAGAGAGAAACTTTTCCAGTTCTGTATCTGAACACAAAGACTTGGGAAACAAAGTCACATTATTATTGTGAATTTTCTTTTATTCATTCAGGGCTATCGCGAGACTCATTCATCTTCGCGCAGAACCTGCCTGCCCTCCTGTGGCCTGCGCCCTGTTACTGCCGAGTACCTGGTCTTCCTGAGGGTCACCTCTGAAGACCATGTATTTCTGGGTAGTCCTTAAGAAAGCCAGCTCCCCGCATAGGGAGTGCCTGCGGTAGCCTGGCCCCACGTTAGGTGTGTGCCTGCTGTCCCTTCCTGCTGCAGCCCTTTTGTGAGTACATGATACCTCCACAGAGCAGGAGGCCGAGATTTTCAGAGGAGGACAGTGAGGACCAAAGAGCTGACAGCATTTGCCTAAAATGACACGGCCAGGAGTGCAGAGCAGGGCTAGAAGCTGTAACTCTAGACAACTGCTCCTTGCCAGCTTTCTGGGCTTTCACCTCCTGCATTTGGTCAATCAATAGCAACCAACATCCACCACATAGTCTACAAACACGAGTGAGTGTGCTGACCTGGTGAGGCGTGAACATCTATAATCCCAGCACTCAAGAGGCTGAGACAACAGCAACCACTGAAGAACAGTAGCCATGGCCCTAGGCTGTCCCATGGCTGTGGGCCTCAACACAGCCACAAGGTGACTAAGAATGTGAGCAAATGAGGCACAGCCGCTGTCACGGACGCCTCACTAAACACACCAAGTTCATGCAGGACATGATCTGGGAGGTGTGCGGCTTCACCCCCTGTGAGCAGTACACTATGGAGCTGCTCAAGGTCTCCAAGGACAAACATGCCCTCAAGTTCATCAAGAAAAGGGTGGGGATGCACATCTGCACCCAGAGGAAGCATGAGGAACTGAGCAATGTGCTGGCCGCCATGGGGAAGGCAGCTGCCAAGAAGGACCAAGCCCCTCTGGAATAAAGTTTGGCAGGAAAAAAAAGAGGCTAAGGCAGGAGGATGGTCCCGAGTTTGAGGCCAGCTGGGGCTACATAGTTAGTTCATGGCCAGTCTGGATTACCTAGAGAGACCCTGTCTCAAAAGGCCAAAAAACAGCCAGGTATGGTAGTATACACCTATAATCCCAGCCCTTACTCAGGAGGCTGAGACAGGAAGATCATTTTAAGTTTGAGACTAGCCTGGGATACAAAGTGAGCTCAAGGTCAGCCTCAACTGCACAGTGAGACACCCCACGCACTCCCCCCAAAAAGACTAAAAACAAAACAACAGAATGTCTGCTCTGTAAGATTTGGCTGAGTTAGACATAAGCCCAAGGAATTCCAAGGTTAGATCAATTATCTGTGAGTGAAGAGTGACAAAAAATTTAGCCTTGGCAGGCATACCCAGGTCTAGAACCTTGTCCTGAGCCCAAAGCTGCCATTGTCACAACATGACACAGAATATTTGCCAAGGGCTTTGTTTCTTCTCGACAGGACAGCCTCAGCCCCAGCCGGCAGCAGGCAGAGGCCAGGAAGGACAGAACGAATAGAAGGAAGAGAGAGGGGGCAGTTGATGGTGGGACAAAGCAGCAGTGAGGACAGGAAGAAAGGACAGTCTGAGATGTCCATTCCCAGGCCTGGTAGGGTCACTGTTGAAGAGCTAAGGGGACAGTGACCAGAACCACTTTGGGGAACATAAGAGTTATATGATCATGAAGCACAAAGAGGCACAAGGTACAGCTGCTGAGACCATTTCTGAGGTGTCGTCCGCTATCCGGACCTCCTGATGGTCACCCCCCATCTCTCGTGTTCATTTCACATGCATATGCAAGGCCCCACAGTGACATCCTGCTTTCCGCAGTCCCCATTGTGCACGAGGGCAGAGCCCTCACCCTGGGCACAAGAAAAGAGATCCTCACTCAGGTCTAATTCAGAAAGAGACGAAGCCAAGCTTACCGCTCGGCTGCAGAGCGTGGCCACAGCATCTACACAGCAGGACCTGTGCAGATGCTAAGGGGACACTCAGTCAAAACACCCTAGTCAAACCACCACCCCAGAAAAGCCATTTAGAGTTGGGGTAAACTTGGGGTGGGGTTCCTAGCTTAGCTCTGTCCCCCAGAGCGTGTGGCCCCAGGCAAGCTGCTCAGGTTGGGCGAGCGCCAGCTCTCTGTCCTTACCTTGCCACTCAGTGGGTTTTTCTCAGCCCGGACCACGTTGCCCACCATGTCACAGAAACTCACCCCATTGGGGAGCTCGTTGGGGCTCCTGTTGTTAAACTGAGGAGGCTGGTACAGCTCAGCCAGCAGATTTTTATCTGCTGTTTTCTGAAGCAAAAAGGTGAAAATGGGTTCCATCATTTTCACAGTTTTTTTTTTGGTTTTTTTTTTTTTTTTTTTTTTTGGCAAAGATCTACAGGGTGTCCAGGGTCTTACTAGTAGATCGGACTTGTAGTAATCCACCTATTTACAGCCTCCCAAGAGCTGGGATTACAGGCATGTGCCACCACGCCCAGTCTCAATTGCCATCTTCTCAGTGTGCCCTGGGGGCAGGGCCAGCACAGCATTTTGACAGTTTTGGATGGTAGGATTTCTTCTCTTTTTTATTATGAAGGCAGCATAATAACGTTACTGACCCTGAGAAAATGAAGAGCCTTCATGGTTTCAGCATTGCTTACTAGCTATCAACTTACATTATTTCTATTTTCCTTTAAAGGCTTTGAGCAAAGGTATCCAAATATATACGTTTTGTTTTCGTTTTTGTTTTCCTGAAATAGTCTTTCTCTGTAGTGGCTGGTCTTGAACTCACTGTGTAGCCTAGGCTGGCCTGAAACTCATAAACGATCCTCCTGCCCCAGCCTCCCAAGTGCTGGGATTCTAAGTGTGCACCACCACGCCTGGCACATATATGTAATTTTAATCATTACACACTTGCATGCATGTGCGGATATAACCTGCTTCATCTCCTTTAGGGTTTAAATCCAGCTGTACTGTCTTCAAAAGTATCATTTAAGATACTACAATTTAGTTACTTACTAATGGTATCTAATAAATACTAGTCATGATTAACTTGGAGTATGCAGTCTCCTGATTTTCTCAAAATGGTAACATTGAAGCAAAGGATATGACCATATAATATTTAGTATATAACATTAATTAGTTTTTAGGACAAAACTAAAATGTGGTATTTATTTACAAATGTAAAAATCCAAGGACTAGCCAGATAGCTCAGTGACTAAAGTACCTGCTTAGGCAGGCTCAGGGACCAGGGTTCAATCCCAGTGGGCAGTACTGGCCCTGCCAGCAGGGCATGCTGAGATACTGAGGCTGGGTGTGGGAAGTGCGCACCTAGAGCTTGGGAGGCTGAAAAGAGGAGGATCACTATGAATCTGATCTGTGTAGTGAGGCCCTGTGGACTCTGTACTAAATATAAATAAATAAATAAATATTTTTTTTTAAAAAAGTAAAAATCCAGAAAATTAAAAAGGAATTTATTACCATTCCTCCACAGCACCTCCTGGAAACACTTAGAGGGACAGAATTATTCTCCAACAGGCCCTGGTGACTCGCAATGGCACAGAGCTTGGTGATTCACTACCTTGACCTGGCGTCACATGGCAGCTCTGCCACTAACTGGCTGTGCCATCATGAGCAGGACACTTACGTCTACTTGGCCATCAGTGATGGAGAGTGACAGTTTCAGTACAACCTCAAGCATTAGGCTTCATGCTGTTTTGGAATTTGCTAGGCTGAACGGCATAAAAGGCTGACAATAACGTGCTGCTTCATGCTTTCCAGCATGTAAAGCTCAGGGTGCGTATGACCTGTATTCTTTAAAAAAACAAGCAGGGGAAAATGTTTTCTTTAAAGACAGGGTCTTGCGACATAGTTCAGGCTGGCCTTGAGCCCACTGTGTAGCCCAGGCAGGCCTTGAACTCCAGCCAATCCTTCCAACTCAGCCTCGGAGTACTGATAAGGGAGGAATAATATAGGTGGGATCACCATGCCCAGAATGGGAGCATCTATTCCATTTTTTTTTTTTTTTTTTTTTTAGGAACCAGGGATTGAACTCAGGCCCTTGCGTTTGCCAGGGAAATGCTTATTCTGCTGCGCCATCTCCCTGGCCCCTATTCTAATTTTTTTTAATCTTTTATTTCTGTCATGCTAGGGATTGAATCTATGATCTCATACATGCTAGGCAGTTACAGTAACACTGAACTACAGCTCCAGCCTGCAAGGTAATCTACACTGGTGTGGATGTGAGGTGGACAAGATTGTGTGCTCTCCATTAGGATCACCATGAAGATGCCAGGTTGTGGACGACCACCTGGGCAACTCGCCTTGAAAGAAGAGCGAATGTCTTCATTTTGGCTGAGCTTGGCCCTATTTCCCTGTACTGATACGTACAGAGCTGGCTAGGACTTTTCCTCAGCCCCACAATTGGCTTTAAGCAATGCATACTGGTCTAGCTGAGGTGCTGGTCATGGTAGTCTTTGAAGATGGCAGGTGTGTTTCCCCGGAACCCCCACCTGCTGCTCTTTAATAAGAGCTGGTTCTAGACGGGAGGAAGAGCCAATGCTCCACACTGTCAGCTGGGATCCTACCTCGAGACTCCCCAGGGCTATGACTTCCTGGGGCTTGAAAGAGTACACATCAGAGCTAAAGCACCGAACCCCAAAACATTCGATACTATCTCAATTGTATAATGCAAATAACTCTGCATATCGTTCTCTGTGCATACTGCAGAGGGGACTGCAGGCCTCCTACCTAGCCAAGCTCACGGCACTCACGTACTTCTTGCCACTCTCAGTCACTCATCCTCAAGCTTCTTCCCTCTTCACAAGTAAATAAAAGCTGAGTTCAGTGTTAAATAAGGGCCTTTGTTCCAGATAGCCATCGTGGCAGGACTTAGGACCCCTTGGCTCCCCCATAACTACAAATATGCCTCAGTGTCTTTATTCTTGCCAAGGGCTGCACTGGAAGTCATAGACTGGAATTAACTTGATGGGATTGCAATAATTTATCCTTGGGATTACAGATATAGACTTCTTGAACCGAGACAAGGACCAGGAAGGGCTCTTCTCATTAGGTTCCTCCTGCCTAGGAACAGAAGCTGTGCCATGCCCAGGAGAAGGCAGTCAGAGATCCCTGCCCTTTTACTTTTATTAGCATGTTTGCAGTACATAATGATCACATTCATCGTGGGGAGTCGGTACAGGGACATAACACAGCTTCATTCGTTTTACACCCCCCACCTGCATCCCTTAGGCCCCTGCCCATTTGCAAAGGACCCATCTTTCCTTACCCTTTTTATAAAGGCAAAGTTGGTAGTCCTGGGTGCCATGCCTGTGCAGGAGTACAGTACCTTCCTTGGTCTCTTGGCTGCAGAGGAATGGAGGAAGAGAAATCAGAAATGAGGAATTCTGGGTATTGCTCACTGCTTGGTGTAACTGTCCCTGTGCCTTGTCATTCACCTGAGGTGCCAGGAGACACCACTCGACCTGCTGGTCTCTCTAGATCCCAACTGTATTGCTTACTTACTGAGATCCCACTCCCTAGTGCATTTGGTGTGACATGTCACACCGTAGGCAATGCCTAGATAGCGTCCCTCCAACCTGCTTGCCCAAGATCAAGAAGTCAGACTTAAGCCTCCTTCAGAAGAGGACACAAATACCCTCATGTAGAGCTCAGGTTCCTACTCAGTTGGATTTGAAAAACTAAAAAACCAAGACTGGGAATGTAGCTCAAAGGCACAGCACTTGACAAATGTGTGCAAGGTCCTGGGCTGGATCCCCAGAATTGCAAAGCCAACAAAAATTTTAAAACAAACAAAAAAACAAAAAAAACCCCTTACATTAAGAAAAAAAAAAAAAAAAACAATGGGTCAGGTATGTAGCTCAGCTGCATAATCGCCTGCCTGGCAAGCGCAAGGTCCTCAGTTCCATCCCCAGTAGTGAAAAAAAAAAACCTTAAGGGGATACAGATGAATGTCCATTTTGTATCTGTGTATTCAAAATGGTTAGAATAGATATATAGTTCCATTCTCTTAATGAGTAGAGGGATTTGTTCTAATAGTGTTTGTAAATAGGATATCATGTCCGCATCTTGTACAGCAATTAACCACTAGGAAGAATGTATGCACTGTGTTAATTATTGAAACTGTCCTACCAATTTGGCTTGAAAAATAAATAAAATACAAAAAAAACCCTTAAAAAATTAAAAAAAAAATCCCATGAAGACACCTTGCAAGGCTATGAGAAAAGACTTTTGCCTCTGTCTCCTGGGCTGCCGCGGCTTTTGTCTCTTAAAGCCTTCTTCTCCAACTCAAATCTCTCAATTGCCTTAAAGAACCAGAAGGAAAAAAAAATGGGCTATTAGGGATTGATGGAAATATTGGAGGAGAGGTTGGGGGAACCTGCGCTTCTGCCCCCAAAAGTCCTGGGGCAAAGTCTGCACCCAGTATCTCCTGCCTTCCCCCTGTAACCCACAGAAATCCTCCCCGAGGGTCACTGGTACATCTACCATCCACGATCCTTTCATGATCAGACGTAAAAGCATGTGATGCGTTGTAAAACATGAACATAGAGGTTATCGGATAGGGTTGGAGTTATTAATCATTATACCTTTGACCTTTTAAGACAATCTCTTAATCCCTGATTCCCTCTACCCCCTAGCCCTGCTATCCCTTAGAAAAGAAAAAAAAAGAAAAATGAACATCAGAGCCCCATAGTTGTATTGATCATCAATTAAGAGTCCCACACTGTGCTCAGATAATAAAGGTGCTGGGTGCCACCTACCAGCACGAAATGGTTGCTGACAAACCCATCTGGCCCAGAGGCAGGCTAAGCAGGCACCCAGCAGAGGCCTGGTACATAGAGGAAATAGAAAACTCTGGTGCAGAGAAAGTGGCCAGGGATGAGTTACACTGGCTGTAGGTATCAGCAGATCTGGCCAGCTGCCTGGGCAGAGGAGTAAAAAGGACAGGCAAGGAGTCCTTCCTCCAGGTCATAGCCGGGGTGGGAGAGGCTCCTGCCAGGAAAAACTGGCAGAAGCCTGGTTGCAGCACCAGCCCCTGTAACTCACCAGGCTGTTGGCCATTGGGTCGGGATTTGGGTCCATCTCAGCGATTCTCTGGTTCACCTGGGGAATGGATCCCACGAAGCAGGCTGAGAGGGGGTCTGCTAAGGAAACTCCGAGGAAAGGGATTACAGGGGTACACGTTTATGTCCTTCTGCTTCATTATTTTGTCTGTAAACATTCACGCTTTTCTTTTATGGAGCTGAGGACTGAACCCAAGACCTTGAGCAAACTAAGCAAGCACTCTACTGCTGAGCTGAGAGTTGAGTCGAGGCTTAGCTCCCATCCTGTCACACTTCACCTTTGTGATTTTTTTGTTTTTGGGGGACAGGATCTTGCTCTATATGTTGGCCACTAATTCACGATCCTCATGCCTTAGCCCCACGGATGCTGGCATTACAGGAACACCCACAACACCGGACTACACTTCATCTTCTTTTAAGGGAACTGCTTTCAATTGGGCATGGTGCCACATGCCTGCAAGCCCAGAATGCAGGAGGCTGAGGCAGGAGGATTGCTGTGAATCTACGTAGTGAGACCCTGTCTCAAGAAAAAAATAGTATGGGGCCGGGGAGATGGCTCAGTGGAAGAAAAAAATAATAATAAAGTGAGCTGCTTTATAAATTACAAATGAAAGCAGACACTTTATGAATTATGAAAAAAGGAAAAAAAACATTTGTGCTAATAATTCTGTTAGGATCTGGAGAAATTTCCTTCCAATATATATTTTTTTCATTTTAAAAACTTTGTTTCATGGGCCTGGGAGATAGCTCAGTGATCTAAGCACCTGCCTGGCAAGCGCAAGGACCTAGATTGATCACTAGTACCACATGTCATGCCCGCCCTGAGCCAAGCCAGCCACCGAAACAGGGTGTGGTGGCACATGCCTGTAATCCCAGCGCTGGGGAGACTGACAGGAGGATCACTATGAGTCCAAGCTGCACAGCGAGACCCTGTACCAAATAAATAAAAGATTTTTAGAATAGTATAAAAAAGCCTTTATTACAGTAAAAGACATATTGCCTTGAATCCCCTCAAAACATCAGGCATGCCTCACCATTCTTGACACTTTCTTTTTTAAAACTTTTATTAGCACATTTTTGGAGTACAGAGGGGTCAGTCACATTCTTCGTGGGGAGCTGGTACATGGACATAACACACCACTTTTCCCTCCCTTTTCCTCCTGCCCCCTCCAACCTCAGTCTAACCTCAGTTAGGGAAATGAAAATGCCTGTTTCATTTCCCTAACTCCCACCATTACCAAGAACATTTTCCAAATGGCTAAATGAACGTAGTAATTATTCGTTTTAATGGGATACTGATTCACGTAAAGGATGGTCTTTAATGCACTCAGCTGCCCCTACTGAATATTTAAACTGCTCACACCTTCTTCCAACTCGAATGCTCAGGTGACAGGGTCGTGCAGAGAGCTATCTCCATATTTGGGGATGTTTCAGGTGTCTTTCTTTTTCTTTTTCTGCGGTGGGGCGGGGGTTGAACTTGGGACCTTGCGCTCGCCAGGCAGGGCTTATCCTGCTACACTATATCCCTGGCTATCAGGGTTTTTTTTCTTTTTTTAAAAAAAAAATTATAAGTACATGTTTTCAGTAGGTGCACCTTACAATCCATCTTGGGCAGTGGGTGCACGTTCATAATACAGCTTGTTTCTTTTTATCCCTTTCTGCTTCCCTCCTCACTCCCTCCCTTCTCCTCCAAATAGCCCACCTTGATTTTTATGCTTGCTGATGTTATTAATCTTAGCTCCTGTTTTGGCATAGAATATTCATGTTCACTGAGCTTATCAGATGTCTACACGTGCCATATCTTTATTCTACTTATTTCCCTTCACGTCCTCCTACCCCTCGCCCTTGTTCCCCGTGGCCCCTTCTGGATGGCCAGAGATCGTCCCCTTTGTCCCCTCCTACACATCCTTTATTATTCTCTTTGTTTATACTTTGCCTCACTCAAGTGAGAGATATCTGTGGTATTAAAGCTTATGCCTGGTTTATTTGACTCTGGAATATTTAAAAGAGATTTTCAGATAAGGGACTGCTGGGTTAGAGGGTCTCCTGACCCTGCTTATCACTGTTTAAAATACGCTCATTTCGTTGGCCCCCGTGATTCCCCCTCGATTTCTGCCTTTCTTTCCCTCTGAGTCTCAGCAGGTTTAGGACGCAGCCTTTGTAAAAGCCCCCAAATCCCATCTCTCCTCACTCCTCTCAGAGACCCGGCTTCACTCTCCCTTCTATTACTCTCAAGCGGTCTCGCCGGTCCGAGGACACTTGAGAAAAGAGGACACCAAGAAGGGACATGACAGATCAGAGAAAAGGAAAGGCTTTGTGGAGGCTGAAATGAGCGTGGGATTAAGAGATGACAGACAGCATTAGGAACAGAAGGAGCAAGGGGAGAAGACCCTGCCGAGGATTCAGATGGGACCATGTTTTGCTGCATCTGAAGAAGGGCTGTAGAGAGGAGAGGAGAGGGCAGGGTGGGGGTGCAGAGTGGTCTGTGCACTTTGCCTGGTGGCAGCGTGATGGGTGATGTGCTGGGACAGTCCCGGGTTATTTATAACCTGAGAGGTTTATAACGTGGATGGGCTGGCAGCACCTCCGAGATGGGATTCTGTGATGCTGGGATGTGATGGGAAGTGAGGATGAGCGAGGACGAGGCCGGCAAGGTGGATGCGGGCAGATCCTAGATGGTACCAGAAGGGGTCAACAGAGGGTCGGGCAGAAGGGTTGGCGGGGGAGAGAGGGGAGGTCAAGCAGAGTAAAGACAGAAAGCTGGGTCCCAAACTCACTTAAAAAAAAATGTATTTGGTACAAGTTCTCATTCATAGCTCGACTCTTAGTGATCCTCCTGTTTCCAGCCTCCCCAGCGCTGGGTTTACAGGCGTGCACCACCACGCCCGGACTCAGTCGCTGGCTCAGCTGCGCCCACCCAGGAGCAGAGCCGGTGCAGCATGTAGTGCTGAGGATCAAACTGCGGTCCGTGTGCTTGCCTGCTTAGTCCGCTGCTAAACTCATTTCTGCCTTATTCTTTTAGCAAATACCTCCAGGGCTTCTTCCTTTTGGACTCTTTCTGATTATATCAGCAACAGAACAAGTCAGGCTGGGAATGTAGCTCAGTGGTAGAGCACTGGCCTAGCATGTGTGAGGTCCTGGGTTCCATCCCTAATGCCTCAAGGATAAAACCAAACAACAACAAAACAAAAAACAGCTCAAGTCAATCCTCTGCAGTCTCATATTCTTTTAGAAGATAGGCCTCAGTACTTGAAAAAAAATTAATGTGTGCCTATGGTAGGTAACCTGCATCGTAGACATAAGCTTGAATTATGCTTCTGTGACCTAACTCAGTTAGATGCATCTGGTCTGGTTTTCAGCACAACTCTCAAAGGATACTGGATAGACGTGCTTCTAAATTCTTCCTCACCGCATCTTCCATTGCCTTCCAGGCACTGAGCGAGATGGCCCGCTTCTCAGCTACTGGCATCACTGGCAAGGCGGCACCATTGATGATATCCATCTGCTTGTTGTAGTTCATTGTCCAGTTTCATGTCAAGTGACAAAAAGTTTCCACGTTTAAAAGCCTCTCGGTTCCCCCTCCAGTCTCGTTCTCCGTTTAATCAGCCTCCTGGAAATCACAAATAACATAGAGCCATCTTAGAAAACACAAGAGGGGAAAAAAGACCATCAAGGTCATCTGCTAAGCAGGTGGAAGGCTTCAGTCTGGGAAGCACATTCAAGGGACGGGTATTCGTTTCTTCTACACGCAGGCAAGGGGCTGGGGATTTGGCTCAGTGGTAGAATGCTTGCCTAGCAAGCTGGAAGCTCTGCATTCGGTCCTCAGTACAAAAAAAAAAAAAAAAAAAAAAAAAAAAAAAAAAACCTCCCCTACATGTGGGTGCATCATTCCACTCATGATTAAAAACTGTTCTGGTTTTTAAAGTAAAAAGAGTGGACTACTTCAAAGCCTAGCAGCAAGCCAGTTTCCAAACTAGAAGTGAACACAAGACTGTCACTCTGAACCTTCACTGCAAAAACAGGAGATTTGGAATAGATGATGCCTACCCTCTTTCCAGACCTCCAATGTGCTGACTCTAGGTTCGAGAGCCCAATTCCTCAGCGTGAAACTCCTGATCTACCTGTGCTCTCTGCTCCCTCTCAGGAATTGGCCCCGTTCTTGCCCTTTCTCCCTGGCTCTAGGACACTCTGGCCTCTCTGCTCTCCTGAGTCCTTGCTCACCCTGGTGATACAGAAATAAAAGCTTAGATCCTATCCTCATGCAACTTGTACATAATGAAAGGAGATAGATAGATAGATAGATAGATAGATAGATAGATAGATAGATAGATAGATATCAAGTAGTTTAGTGGCAAAATTAACCCAGGTGTCCCTCACTGCTCACTCCTCTCTGTCGTGGCTCGGGCATGGTCCCCACCCGTGAACCCAGCCACGCATTCCACATGCTTGACCCATTGAGCTTCCTCCTGGCCCCTGACTATTTTACTCAGTGTGCATCTGTATCTTTGATCATGCTATTCCATCTTTTGGTCCCAGGCAAGGTGAAATGTCTTTTGGAAAAGCTCCTCAAATTATTCCAGGCCAACGACACTATGCCTTCTCCACAAAGCCCACGGTACTACTTTCACCTATTTCAGCACTTCAAATACTGAACTGCAATGACTTTCAATATTTGATTTCTTTTGGCATCACTTACTACACCATTTTTGAGTCTAAAGTTGGTTGGATCCTAGGAAAGGCAGGCCCTGGCCTAGGTCAGTACCAATTCTTGTTCCCTCCCCTAGCCGTATGAGCAGAGGGCAGAGGGGTCGGGGGAGGCAAGTGCATTTTAGGGCGTCTCATTTCCTCCCACCTGTTCCCCAGAGTGACTGGAAAACTTCACTGTGTTCTCGGAGAAGCCAGACTCCAGTGACTCTGTCAAAAAGCCTCCTGACTCAACCTAACGTTATTACTCACACCTAATGAGAAGCTGAATAGCATGCTTCTTAAGAGAAATGTTTAAAATACATATCCTGGGCTGGTGAGATGGCTCAGTGGTCTAAAGCATCTACCTAGAACAAGCTTAGCAAAGCACAGGGACGCAGCCCCGGCCCCTGGTGGGCTGAGCTGGCCACACACACACACACACACACACACACACACAAATAAATAAAATTAAAAAAAATAAAATACATATCCTGTTCCCTGATGAATTTTTCATCACAATATTTAAGGATGAGTATTTTTTATTTATTTTTTTTTCTTTTTGTGGAACCAGAGATTGAACTCAGACCCTTGAGTTTGCCACAGAAGTGCTTATTCCACTGAGCCATCTCCCTGGCCCCTAGGAGGAGTATTTTTTAAAGCCTGATAAATTTTTCTGTCATTACTTGATGAGAAAGAGGAAGAAAACTAGCTTCACTGAGGAGCTACACTATAAGCAAGTGCTGTGCTATATCCTGGGGCAGATGAGGAGGAAACCTTCCGCCCCCGGGGAGCACAGATTCTGGCAGGAGACTTCCATGACCTCTACTGAAGGTTGGCATATCCTAAGCATACGAAAACAATGCTGGCTGTGGAGTCAGGCACACTTCTGCTCACCCTTCAGACCTTCAGTGACTACCGAATACTCCACAGAAGCCAGCGATGTGCTCTTTCTGGGACAGGAAGTGAGACAGGACCAATTCAATCAATACTCTAATAATAGTGCTGTATCTACTGGGAAAGGCTTAATAAAGTCAAGTAACTATGCAAGTAACTATAAGTTCTAATTCATGAGGAATAATTATAGATTAAAACAATGGATCCCTGTCACTATTGCATCACAGGGAGGTGCATGGTGCTGTGAGATGGGACACTAGTGTGGTTTAACATCATCAAGTGTAGGCCGGGGAGATGGCTCAGTAGAATAAGTGCTTCCCTGGCAAGCACAAGGGTCTAAGTTCAATCCCTGGTTCCGCAAAAAAAAAAAAAAAAATCATCAAGTGATCAAGGTGCTGATGGAAGAGAAGGAGCTCATTAGATAAAGTGGAGGGGAAGTATCTTACAAGCAGAGGGCAGCAAAACTGGAAAGGTTGGAAGAGGCTTAAACCAGCGCTGCCTGTCACAGAAGCCAACTGGATACATGAGAAAACTGACCCCTTGAATTGGTTAGTGTGACTCAAATTAAACTACATTTTACTTAATTTAAATGTAAAACCTGAGACAGTATAAAATTTTAATTTTTAAAAAATGTATTTGGTACAGGGTCTCATTACGCAGCTCAGACTCGCAGTGATCCATTACAAGAGTGAGCCACCACGCCTAGACTCGGTGAGCAGCTCAGTGGGCCCCGGCTCACTTTGTGGTACCGGGGATGGAACCCCCATCTCTGCGCTTTCCTAAGCAGGTGCTTTGTCTGCTGAGCTACCTAGCTGGCCAAAATTTAAAATATCGATTACATTTGAAAAAAGAATATTGCATTATGGATGTATGGTTTTAAATAAAATATTCAAATTAATTCTACTTGTCTTGTTTTGACTTTTTAAAATGTAGCTATTTGTGATCCTTCTGCTTGTCTAAAATGTATTAATAAAATGTAATTAAAAATAAATGAAATGTTTAGAGGATAGCTAAAAATATACATAAAATAAAAATTAGCTGCTAGAAAATTCCAGACTGCACAGCCTGCTTCATGATTCTGTTGAACAATGCTGGGTTAAACAGTACAGACTTTGGATCCAGGACACAGAACTCTCTCCTCTTTGATGCAGTATGGTATAGCCTGGAGAATTGTGCTTGGAGAGAGACTGGGATCTTGTCCCGTATTGCACAGATGACCTGGCATACCCAGTAGGGAGCCAGTAAATATCTCTTGAAGGACCTGAGTTTCTTTGTTTACCACGTTGCACCAACAACACACACTATTAGAGGGCCGGCCAAATAGCTCAGCAGATTAAAGCGCAGGGGTTCAATCCCCGGGACCTGCCGTGCTGGCCCTGCCCCAGGGCTGCGCTGAGCCAGCAATTGAGACTAGGCATAGTGGCTTGCGCCTATAATCCCAGCTCTTGGGAAGCTGTAAACAGGCAGATCACAATGAGTCCGATCTAGTAGTGAGACCCTGAACACCCTGTAGACCTTTCTCTGAAATACAAAAATAAATAAATAAATTAATTAAAATAAAAATAAATTAAAAACAAACAAACAAACAAAAAAGCCGCATTGTTAGGACAGTCTGCGATCTGAAGTTGATTCTCCAGTTCTCTGTCCCTAGACCACTGGGCAACTTCAAAGTGGTCCCGGGGCCTCTGTTTGCCTGACTTTGTAGAAGCTGAAAAGTGTCAGGGCACGGGAAGCCCGTGGGCTGTAGGAATGGGATCACCGTCCGTCTAGTAGTTTGCCCTACCTGAAAGCTTCGGTAGAATCAGAGGAATTCGTGGCAGGTAGGGAACTTGTGCCACAAAGTTCTAGATGGGCACTCGGTACCCGCTGCTCTACATCCGTCAGGAAGGAGATGACTTCTGCTTTGTGGGCGGGGCGGGGGTAGGAGATAAGCCCGGGAGAGGCCCATTTTGCTACTATGACCACGTCCGTGTGTCTCTAGCAACGCCAGGTACGCTCACTAGTTTCACTTTTTCCACAACAATGGAACCTTTCTCTGCTGCAGCTGTGTGCACCGGACGCCGTTACCAGGGTGACGGCAGCCGATTGCTTGGGGACCAGACCAACGTGTTTGCTGGGGGGGGAAATGTAGCTTCTCGCCCCATCCTATAACACGGGGATACAAAGTACCATATAAAATACTTCTATTGTATAATATATTTACTTGAAGGAGCCCGCAAGTGCCTCTGGTGCTTCCCGGGAACGCTGGCGTTGTTCCCGCGCTGACACCCCCTCCTTCCTAGTGGTAGAGTCCAGGGCGGGACCGCGCGTGCGCGCTGTGAACAGGTAACGGCAGGCAGTTTGCTAGAGTTGCTTAAGGGTATGGTTGGGTCCTTGCCGGCATCTAGAGGTTGATTTTGATCCTGGCTTCTCGGACACTACAGGTATGTCCCTGAGTCAGGCCAGTAGCGAGCCCTGGGTCACCCGAAGGGAATGGGACGCCCCGCCCCCCAAAGATCGGCGGGAGGCAGGCGGGGTTGCCCCAGGCTATCTGCTCCTGGACCGGAGCTTGTTTCTTCGGGTGTGAGCTGGAATGGGAGTTGCTCCCCATAAATAGGCCTAAGGGTGATTAGGTAAGACCGTGCGTCTGAACCTGTGTTTACAACCGTTAGTTGAGCTCGTAAGCCCTGGTGGCCCTTCTACCAGTGAGAATTATACCCGCTTGGCTCGTAACTCTTTAGGTGATGCGTTTTCTTTTGAAAATCTGAGTAAAGTCACAGATTCCTCCTTTACGTACTTGTCAATGTATTTTATGGCCTGTTGCAAACTAACACTTTGCCCAGTGATTAGCGATTGGTATAATCTATAGATGAGAACACACTTGATCCTACTCCTCAGGGTCTCTGTGTAGGTCAAATGCCACATCTGCCAACTTGTAAATTGGAGCCTGTGATTACTCCTTTTAACAAAGAAGCCACGCCCAGGGATATAAATGCAGGGATCCCCTCAGCTTGACCAGTAGGGCAAGGTTTGAGTCAGCCTTTACTTAACCTTTCCCAAGGAGTTTCACCGAAAAGAAGGCCACCTTGAGCCAAAGGGACAGTTTGTGTTTTGGCCTAAGATACTGCTCCGGGACCCCAAGTCCTCAAGATCTCAGCCCAAGTTGTTTATGAATTGTTAGATCGGACTTAAAATGCAGCTAGTCCAGACCCTTCCTTCCCCTCACCAATAACACAGTTATGTGTCGCTTAAGGACAGGGACATCTTCTAAGAATGTGTTGAGTGGGGAGAAGATTTTCTCAGTTGTACAAGTGTTGTATGGTGTACTTACATAAACCAAATGGTATAGTAGCCTGCAGCACACATAGGGTGTGTGTGTGTGTGTGTGTGTGTGTGTGTGTGTGTGTGTGTTGACCTGTTGCTCTTAGGGCCACGGTGAACAAAAGCTCGTGAAATTAAATCAAACACAAGAGAAAATGGTGCATTTAATGGATATAAACTGGAGACATCTGAGGGGACTGTCATACTATTTTACCCTAAACTTTTATAAGTAGGAGTACACTAATGATAAAAGTATACTAAGTACACAATTCAGTAACAAAGTCCTTTATCATCAGGTATTATGTGCTGTACACAATTGCACGTACAGTGTTCGTCTATAACAGGCTGTGCTGTAGGTTTGTTTATGCCAACATCAGCATAAACATGCGGGCAGTGCGTTTTGCTCCAACAGCATGGCCGCAATGTCAGTAAATGATAGGAATTTTTCAGCTCCATTATAATCTTATGGGATCACTGTTGTGTATGTGGCTGTTTGTTGACCGAAACTTTGTTATATAATGCATGACTCAGTGGTGGACAGTTCTGAGCCTAAAGGTTATGAGAATTAGCCATGCATGAGAGACCCCCAAGAAATTGAGCAATGCGATCAAGGTTTAGCAATCAGCTGAGGGCTGGAGCTAGGCCTGAACCCTTATCTGTTGCATCCAGTAATGGCCTTAGGCATAGTGCTTTTGGTGCAGTTCAGTCTTCCCAAGATTGGCAAGAGCCACTTGGCTTGCTTTTCCTTCTTCAAATTTCTCCAAATGCTTGGAGGGACAGGGGCTGCCTTCTACTTTATTTTTGTTGTTGTTCATAACTTATACATGAATATATTTTTTGAAATAATCCATTAAATCCAGAAACATCTTTCTCTAATATGATTTTTTCAAATTTTATTTTATTTTATGTATTTAGTAGAATCAACAGGGACTCACTACACAGATCAGACTTGTAGTGATCCTTGCTGTTTTTCAGCCTCCCAAGCACTGGGATTACAGGCGTGCCAATACCAAGGCTCAGTCACCATCTCAGTGCGCCCCTTGGGATGGGGCTAGCACAGCGGGGCAGGGATCAAACCCCCTGCCCCCGCATCCGCCTAAGCAGGCACTTCAATCTGCTGAGCTATCTGGCCAGCCCTCTAATATGATTTTATATTGTATATATTTTTTGTTTTTCTTTTTGGGACAGTTTTTTTTTTTTTTTTTTAAATACAGTGTCTCACTATGCAGATCGGACTCATAGTGATACTCCTGTTTTCAGCCTCCCCAGTACTGGGATTGTAGTCATGCACCACCATACCTGGACTTGGTCAGGCTCGGGGAGCCCCTGGGCAGGGCCATCGCAGCATATGGTACTGGAGATTGAGCCCCAGTCCCCATACTTGCCTAAGCAGACGCTAGTCTACTGAGCTATCTCACCAACCCTATGGTACATTCTTTTTAAAAATTTATTTATTACAGGGTCTCACTATGCAGATCAGACTTGTGATATTCCTATCTCAGCCTCCCCAGCACTGGGATTACAGGCATGTGCTGTCATGCCCGGTTTTAGTGGCTGACGCAGCAACACAGCATGCTCTAACTGGGATTGAATCCAGGTCCTTGTGCTTGCCTGGCAGGTGCTTAGAGGCCAAGCTATTTCCTTAGCCTAGTTCCACCAATTTATAAAACATTGTATTTTCCAGATGTTGTGACCACACCCTTGAGCCTTCCACCAGCTAATTCGTGCCAGAGTCTCCAGGTGGCCTGCTGCTACTTTCCAGTTGCCTGTGGGAAAGGGGTGAGAGAGTGATGGGCGGGATGCCTACCAGCAGGCATAGGCCACTTAACACACTGGTCAGGGTAGGGCCATGGCAATTGCTGTCGTTTCCTTCACTGAAATGCAGTGAATGCAATTCTGATGAAAAAGAGACAGAGTCTTATTATGTATATCATATTAGCCTTGAACTTGCTGTGTAGCCCAGGCAAGCCTCCTTCAGTCCTCCTGCAGGCTGGTATTACAGGTGTGCACTACCACGCCCAGCTTATATTATACTGTATCAGATGGAATTGCCAAATTGGAGGATTTTTTAAAACTATAAAATGGCAATTTCATCTACTCCCCTCCAGGTTCATCCAAGGAAGTCAGCTATTGCCCTTCCGGATTCCCCTTCCAGGTAATACACTATGAATATTCTTTTTTTTTTTTTTTCCACTATGAATATTCTTTGTCATCGCACATGGGACTAAATTATACACATTGTTCTGTAACTTGCTTTCTTCATGTTCAAATATGTTTTGGAGGTTTTTCTGGCCAGTCCATACACAACTCTCTCACTATAGGTTAGTGCTTCTTACTATGCCAGTATAAGAATGTGCTACAATATATTTGGCTATACCAACCCTTGGTAGACATTTTGGAGTATTTATTTTTCACTGTTATAAACAATAGAGGACATTTGTATATGTACAAGTCTTTTTGGAGGAAAATTTTGGAAATAGATTTGCCATCCAGAAAGTATGCACATTGCTGGACACTGGCTCCTGCCTGTAATTTTTTTTTAAATTTATTTATTTTTATTTTTTGGTACAGGGTTACAATATGCAGGTCGGACTCGTAGTGATCCTCCTGTCTTACCTGTACCAGGGATCAAGCTCAGACTGAACTCAGGACCTTGCACTTGCAAGGCAGGCACTTATGCCGCCAGGTTATCTCCCCTGCCCTTCCTGCCTGTAATCTTAACACCCAGGAGGTTGAAGGAGGAAAATCTCTGTGAGTTTGAGGCCAGCGTGGGCTACATAATGAGACTAACTGTGTCTCAAACAAATAGACACAACTATACACATTAAAAAATCATTAGATTATGTCTTACTGTCTTTGAAAGAATTATAACAACTTATTTTTTTTTCGTTTTATGTATTTGGTAGGGAGTCCGACTACACAGTTCTGACTTGTAGTGATCCTCCTGCTTTTAGCTTCCCCAACACAAGGATTGCAGGCGTGCACCACCATGCCCAGACTCAGTCAATGGCTCAGCGCTTAGCGTGCCACTGGAGCAGGGCCAGCATGGCATGTGGGACCAGGGATTGAACTCTTGGTCCCTGTGCTTGCCAAAGCAGGCGCTTAAACAATTTATATTTCTGTTGATAGTAAATTGTCTTTTTCTTCTGCAGTTTCACCAATATTGGATATTTATTCATTCTTTTTGTTGCTCTGGTAGATGAGAATGCTTTTATTTGGCGGGGGGAGCTCAGCCCGCCTGGGGCGGGGCTGGTGCAGCATGTGGTGCGGAACAGTGGTAGGTCCCTGCACTTGCCTGCTGGCCCTTTAGACCTCTGAGCTGTCTCACTGCCCCAAAAATGCCTCTTTTAAGATGTACCTTCCACCAGTTATGGTGACACACATTTGTAAGCCCAGTACTCTGCAGGCTGATGCAGGAGGATCATCACGAGTTCAAGGACAGCTCCAGGATACATAGTGAACTCAAGCCCACCTGAACAACATAACAAGACCTTGCCTCAAAAGAAAACACAAACCAACAAAACCTGTACCTCCTAAGTTATTAAGACAAAGATAATTTGATATATACTTTTAGCCAACTATGGCTATGTCCCTTGGGAAAACTGGCTAATTTCCCTGAGCCCTAGTTTTCTCATCTCCAATACCGATAAGAAAATATGGCTTCTTAGATAATTGCAAAGAATGAAAGAACTATATGAAGTGTGCCCAGCATTGAAGTTGACCCATCCTTTTTTTTTTTTGAGACAGGGTCTTACTATACAGCTCAGGCTGGCCTTGAGCTCACTTTGTAGCCCAGGCTGCTCTTGAACTTGCAAAAATGATCCTCCTGCCTCAGCCTCCCGAATGCTGGGATTACAGGGGTGAGCCACCACACCCAGCCTGATCCATAATTGATAGATAGGAAGCAATACTAATTTTTGTTATTGTGCATTTTTCTTAATATCTTTTTGCCTGCACATTCTTTCAGTTTTTTTCTGCCCCAAGAATGCCTCTTTTAAGATGTATCTCCCTCACCAGTTATGGTGACACACATTTTTCTTTTGCCTCAAAAGAAAAAACAAATAAAACCTGTACCTTTTAAGTTATTAAGACAAAGATAATTTCATATATACCATTAGCCAACTATGGCTATGTCCCTTGGGAAAATTGGTTCTGCTGTCTACAAACATAGGATTAATCCCTTTCCCTCTTCCACCCTCTTTCTTTTCTCCAGCAGAAATACCAGGGCCTTCTGATACATCTTAGATGGTGACAAAGCTTCAGACTACTTCAGCATCTTGGGGCCCACCCCTGTCCCTTTCACTTCCTAGCTGACACCTTTCAGGCTTTTTCAAGTCCTAAATGTTGCGCTCAGGGCCAAATGCCATCCCCTAGGTCAGTGACCAGGAACCTTTTAGAGGTTTCAGTGATACAGGCGACCGACTGTAGCACGCGTGCTCTAGGTTGGCCACGGCTACGCTAGGTTGTTGGTCTGCAGTTGTTCTCAATTATAGACGTATGCCCTCGGTCAAATTATCATGAGCACACAATTTCAAGTGATTCGGTTTTTGTTTGCTTGTTTATAACTTACTGTTTTTTAACATAGGATCTCACTATGTAGTCAAGGTTGCCCTCAAACTCCTGATGATCCTCCAAACTACACTCTGTTTGTCTAATTATATATCTCATACGCATTTTATATTGCATATTATAAAACTTCCAAAGATGCTTCTATACTTTCATAATTAACATTAGTGAAATTGATTTCTACCTCAGTGAAAACAACTTAATATTTTCATTGGTTACATGTCTTGTTTTGGTTTTTGTTTTGGCGGAACTAGGGATTGAACTCAGGCCCTTTTGCTTGCCAGGGAAGCGCTTATTCTACTGAGCCATCTCCCCACCCGGTTATATGTCTTGTTAATCATGATAAATTCATACTATGAATTATCACTGAATACAGTTAGTTGATACAAAATTGTGTTCTTTGTTTTTTGGAAACTGTCTCACTACATAGTTCCGGCTAGTCTTCCAACTTGCTGTGTAGCCCAGGCCGGCCTTAAGCTGACAGCAATCCTCCAACCTCAGCCTCCTGAGTGCTAGGACTACAGTTGTGAGCCACCACACCTGGCCGAAAAAACTTTGCTTTAAATAGTCTTGAAAGCTGGTTATGGTGGCACACACCTATAATTCTAGCACTTGGGAGGCTGAGGCAGGGGGATCACTATGAGGTTGAGGCCATTCTGGGTTACATAGTGCATTTAAGACCAGCCTAAGGGCTGGAGAGATGGCTTAGTAGA